TTGACACATGGTTCTCCCCATCCCTCTTCCAGCCATTTCCCTCCTCCTGCTGTGCCCCTCAACCTCCTCCTTCCCAGCGTCCTTCGTTTCTCCTTCATTCCACTTACCACTTCCTGTAATGCTATCCAGTTCTGGCACATGCAGGCGCATACACAGATGATGCACATCAGAAATGGAGAGACGCATTATATGTTGAGACACTGAAGAGTGGCACTAAAATTTTGTGGAAAAAGCAATGTGAATGTCTTATCGGAGCTGAGTCGTCGCTTCTTTCAGTGTTGAAATTTTTTAATTCATTGTTTTCATTGAAGTATGGACATTCATTGTGCGACGCTTCTATCTGTTCATGGATTTGCGCAAAAAGCATTGCTACTTAAGTGATTATTTGCTTATTTTTCTAGAACTTCAACCTGTGAAACCAAGGTGTGCGTGAAAGTTGATTTTAAGCCGTTTAAATGGTACCAGGGGAATGCGTGAAAAATTCCAGCTCCCTAGCTTTTGTGAATGCCAATTTGAAATATGGGTGACAAAAATTCGAACACATCCACACATGCACACGCCCTGACGATCTCTTTTCAATATGCGTTTTTGCATTTGCATAAATACGCAGAAAAGAAAAAGGTAATAAACTGCCGATGAAACAAAAAAGTCATGAAATATTAGAAAAAAAAAACAACTGATCGCTTGTGTAACCATAATTCGCCTTATAAAAGAACAAATGTACGCCAAGAAACAATATTATGCTACTTGCTTTGGTCAATATTGTTTCATCGTCGCATTTTTTCTTGCCACTGATTCAGCTGACCTCTAATTCCACATAACCGTTCAGGCGGATCCTTCCACTGCAATGGCTGCCTTCTCCGTGTTATTTCAACATTGTGTGCTGTTCTTGTGCGCTAAAACATAGTGCGTTGTTATCTTGAATAATTACACGTGCTACTGCTTTTGTGTTATTGGTTTTACTTGTAACAATTGGAATATTTATTTAGGGGATGGGAAGTTTGGATACTGTACATCGACAGTTGCTTGATGAATGGCGACAGGAGTCGAAGCGTGACTTGTCAGAAATCGCAATGATCCTGAAAAGTGCCAAAGTATGCTTCTTATACTGCCTCCCCCTACCGCCACACACACACACACTTCGAAAACCTCAAACTTATCGGGAGAAAATGAATTTTGAGTGAAAAAAGGGGGCTATTTTCTGTCGCGTAAAATTCCCCGCAAATAATTGGGAATACACCAAATCTGCACATTAACTTGGACGAAATGACATTTTGTTTGGTCAGCGGGCAAAAATAAAACTTGCTTTGATTTTCTGATCAGCTTCAGTTCAGAGCCTGGTTTTCCAGTTTTTCTGACCAATGCCGGATCACCCGGTGGTCAGCCTATTGGCCATTCTGACTGACCAAACCTTTTAAATTATCACAGCAACAGTTATCCCAAACCAAAGGCAATTTGCAAGGGTTTAACCGTTTCGAGATTTCATTGATTGCGTGTTTTGAGTTATACTAGAACACTGCCACCCTCAGGTCACGATGAGGTACTTCAATGACTTGAAAGCAACAATGATAGAGGGAGGGGCATTTTAAAAAAATGTGGTTCTTTTGTCAATGGCATTAGGCAGCACTCTAGTACAATTTTCTAGCCTGTACTTCGAAAACTAGCTTAAAATCCTTTTGATGGGGAGGAACTATCACTGAAATTAGTCAAGGGAGCTGAAAGACTCTGAAAGCTAGCTGAGAATCTTTTCACGCAAAATGACGGGGAATTCTTGCTAAGTGTGGGCATCCTTGATTCCGAGCACTGTGATTAGGAAGGGGAAAAACGCAAATGTACCAGAAATGAATCTGATGAAACAAACGAACAATCATCACAGATGGAGGCTGAGCATCGCAGGTTGATGGCCGAATGGAACAAGCAATCGAAGGATCTGGGCGCTATCGGCACGGCACTGAAACAGCTGAAGGTGTGTAGTCCAATACCTGTGGTTACTGTCCATGTGGTGGAACTCTTTGCGCTCCTTGTACCTGCTAATCGCGTTTTTTTTTTTTTCAGGATCTAATGAATAATGCTGATGCACTTCGAGGTCTTAGCCATGAAGCGCTTTTGACCATACACCGTAAGCTTACATATTCTTGAAAATTTAATTTGATTACATTTCTTTATTTTACTAGAAATATCAAAACCACCATGAAAATCAGTGTGGGTATCTCATGTTGTTGATGTTACTGGAGTGCTCCCCGTAGCTGTTATGTCAGCCCTTTCGATGATCCTGACATTAATTTTTTGATCGCTCTTCATATTTTTCTGATCATATTCTGTATAACATCCGACCCGCAGAGCGCCTTATTATGGTCAAGAAGCGTAACGTTCAAAACGAATTAACAAGCTTCAAGAACATCTCAAAAGTTCTGAAGCCTTGTCGGATGGTTCCCGTCGGAAAAATCATTGAGTCCCCAACTTTCCCAGAATATGAAACGAACGTTAGGATCGCCAGCAGACTGAATGCCATGTAGTGCAGCACTGGTCACAGTACCTTGAAAAGTTACCAGTTGTGTTTTTGTTGCCAAGTGTCAGGCTACAAATTGCAGCCGTATAACTGCTGCTAGCAGTAGCGTCTCATTTTTGGTGAAATTTGTTCCAGGAGACGTATACGAAATTGAAGTTTTAAGTGCGATACTCAATTCGGATCTGGAGGCTTTCCATGAGGCTATCAGTGTTCTTATCAGTTTCTACCAGTCCTACAGGTAATGTGATGTAGTATAACACGTTTGCCTTCTACCTCTCTCTACCCCGCCGTTTTTCCTTCTACAAAGATACGTTGAAACTGGCGGGATCCAATTATACTACCGAACTGATGAAGCTTGATTGGGCTGCCCAGTTTCGTACTACTATTTTTGTAACTCACTCTTAATTCTTTTGCCTCCAATTATTAACTCATATAAAAGAAACTTTCTTCCGGCACCGATTCAATTAAAGTATAATTTCAGCTTGAACAAAGAATGGCCGAATAAATGGCTAATGATTGGTTTGAATCTGATGTATTTGTTGGCCACCAAACAACACGCTCAGTTCCATATGGTATGCTTTTTTCCTGCATTTTCCCACTGTGCCATCACTAAAAATTCTTTTACCTGTTTGCTTATCGTATATGCTGATGATAACGGTGATAACGACTATTGCAGTGGCGATAACGCTGTCGTTATTACCATTATCTTTTGTACTGATAATGACAACAACGGCAACACTGGTAACGACATCGTTCATAATAATAATGATGATACTGACAGTGGCCGTACCGCACTGATGCTGACAGTACGTACTGCATATATATTTTTGTGAGAACGAATATTTTAAAAATATTTTCCAGTTCCTCGAACAAATTGACCAGGATGTCCAGCAAAACAATCCATACATTTGGACACCAGTGAAGCTTGAACAGTCGCTGATGGAAGGCGCCTACAATAAGGTAATCAGTTAACTTCAAATTTCAACAGTTTAACTATGTTAGAGAATCTAGGTAGTCGATTTTAAAGAAAGTGAAACAAAAAAGGAATAGAAAATTCCGTTATCACTTAATTGGTACATTGTGTTCATCATTTTCACTTTCGGTATTAATAATAATAACATTAATAATAGTGATATAACAGCAACAGCACATTCATTATAGTGATGATAGTCACACTGATAATAATGACAGCAATATTTTTACTGCTATCGAAATTCTATAAAAACAAGCGCTCTGTCTATATTTACAGCTAAGAGATGAAACATAGACTGCAAACTGCTTCGTAATCATGCAAATTCTTAAATACTTTACTAGATGTTAAGTGCTGTAGGCTTATTCTTTATCAGTGTTATATGTTGTGGGTTCGTATTTAGGTGGAATCGATTTTTAACGCTTATAACTCTGCTTAAATTTTATAAATGACATAACATTTAATATTAATTGAATATTGCAGTTGATGCTAACAGAGAAGAATATCCCCAGCCCTTATTACGCTCCGTTCATTCGAATCGCTATGGATAGCGTGCGGTAAGTGCCAAATAATCATTTAACCCAACAATTGCAAATAATTGGGATACTTGGCGGAGCTCGATCCGAAAACTTAGCACAGCTCGATGTCCTTATTCAAGAATTTACTTTTTCTGGGAAAAACCAATAGTATTTAAATATTTTCATTATCAGCAAATGACTTAAAGGAAGTTGACAGTTACGTCTGTTCTTACGTGAATACTTAAACTGGGTGCATATCATAGTCTGATCTCAAACTATGCATCTGGCAAATTTACTATTTGTTTTGACTTAATGCTGCATCACCTGGTAGTCAACTTGTCCATTTTCCTGACATTCGGTTCGTTTCCGATGGGATTGCAGCTAGACGTTTTTTTGGAGGAAAACATTGGGCTTCAGCTGTCTCGAGATGTTTTGGTCCTTGTTGAATATTACTAAAAAAAGTAATTGATTTTTTTGCAGTAGTTTTTAAGTTATTTGTTTCAAACTTCGTATCAAATGTTCTGCCGATTTATGTCTAAGGGATGAAACAGTGACTGCAAATTGACCTGATCCTTTCCTAGATGCAAATTCTCAAATACCTTACTAGTTATTCCAAATTAGATACAGTACTTTATTATTAAAATTGGAAAATTAGATTATTATTGCAAATTAAAAAATTTCATCTTTCCAGACTTGAAAGTGCTTGGGGCTGTGAACATCACATCTTTTCCTCAAAGCCTGTGAAGAATAACAAGTGTTCCAGAAGTAAGGAAAATTAGGGGCCAAGTGTTGAAGTTTAATCATGCTAACAGTCTTATTTGCAGAAACTTTGACTGCGCTAAAATGATCATTTTACAGGGATGAAATAGCCTCATGCATGGAGTGCTCATTCGTGAAGGTGTCACAGGAAGATGCTGCTCAGTTGCTTCTGTTTAATGATGTCCACGAAGTAATACCTTTTGCTGAAAAGGTATTATCTTTGTGCAAAAATTATCTTCCTTAGTTAAAAACATTTTGTTCACGAAGTACCATTACATGTCGTAAATGAACAAAAAAATATAGTAATTCCAAATAAACAATCATATCTTAAATTAAATGAGCATAATTAAGAATAAACATAGTAAATAAACATAATTGTAAACAAACAATCGTAAGCATATCGTATAAATAAAAAAAAAGATATAGTAATCCATTATAGTGTAGACGAACTAGTGCAACCCAACCATTCACAGTTTGAAATGGCTAAAACCTTGCCAAGTGATTTTATCAGGAGAATCGTTGAGCCAAACAATCCTTTCGGGAGACGAAGTGGACGTCAGCTTCAGGCTGACCAAAAGGCTATGCAGTTTTGGCTAAAGCAGTCGAAAAAGTTGCCAGGCGCAAAGCCAAAGCTGAGGAGCCATACCACGAATTAATAGCTGTTCGATGAATTTCAGTTATTTAATTGATCAGTTAGTTTCAATTTGAAGTATGTTGAATTTGTAGCGTGGTTGGAAAAGCCGTTGCGCGAATGCCCAAAATGTTACATATCTGTTCGATCGTGCTCGTTCACCTGTAGGTTTTTTTTGCGTTAAAAAGAAGCCACCTTTACCCTCCATTTTACTCTCTGTAAAAGAGGAATCTGGAATTACTTGAAACGGCAACAGTTGCCAATAGTAACACTAGCTGGTGACGCTTCGGTGACTCCTTCTTTCGAAGTCTGCATTGCTTAAAAGCAAGCTAACGACGATTTTGACAACCTGTCATGTGCCAGTACGAATTTATCATCGGAATAAATAAAGGAATCGTGGAGAGATTTAGTTGTCCCACCTCCAGGAGAATATAATTTTCGGTAGCTGCCCTAGGAGTAGTTCTGTTTAACGCTTACCAAACTTATTGTAGATTTATAATATACCCACTTGAATTATAGATGTCCGCATAAAATAACTCGTCCGAAATACTGTTGATCTGAGGTGTCAAGTAGCTATCAGTAGATGAAATTGAATAAAATTAAATTAAAAGAGCACAAATGCATGAGTGGTATTTTATAGCGGGCAATAATGTAAATATATAACCCTGAAATTCTGGTAATCTTGTGTTTTCGTGAACTTGTTGCTGAGATTAATATCCCTTTAAACTTGTTCCTTTTATTTTGTGGATGGAATTCCCATACTCTTATTGCCTATATCCTTCCTACTTATAAGTTAATCGGGATCGAGGACAAGAAGCACTGATACCGGGGCTGGAGGGAGCGCTTGCATTGATTTGTACTTAAATTTATTATTTTCCTTTCGGTTTTTGAATGTTGCCTACTAAAATATGTTAAGATTGCTGCTGAACAGCGACAATTCCTGGACACTAAAAGGACCACGAAGCAAGCCATTTTCTATGCGAAACAGCTTGAAATGATTGTATGATGCAGCTTTTTTTCTCCATCCCCATTCCAGTCATTCCTTAAAAGAGTTGTGTTTGTAATATTATTTGTTTTTTCGCTTTGTCGCAAAATCCTGTATTTCTCCCTCCTGCTGCTTTGTAGGATCCCGTGGCTGACCTAGAGGTAGTCCTCGTACGTTTTTCCACAATGGCAATCGTAGTCGTAGAAGGAACTATGTTCAATGGTCTTCATTTTATAAAAGTGTTTTTTTGAAGAGGCAGTAGATATCCAGAACACCAAGACGAACTGTTCGAGCAGTCAGTGTGGGTATTTTATTTTACTGATGTTACATGAATGGTCTTTTACGTTGAACGCAGCTGCTACAGGCTGTTCGGTCCTGGAGTGCTCACCTGTAGTTAGTACTCATCGCCTATTCGATGATGTGCGCCACTTCTTTCAGAGGAGCCCAAGTGGTCGTTTACTTTCTTGCGCGAACTGATATGTGACGTAAATTGTATATAAAAGTCCACGCAGGTTTATTTAATTTAATTACTAGGAATGATAAAAAATGAGGGCCGATAGTGTAATAGTTAACATACAGCGGGTTAAATCCAAAGATCTAGCGATAGTGAAAGTAAGGAGTTTGATCCCTTGTCGTGTCGAGCGATAGTGAAAATGACGAGTTTGATTCCTTGACGTGTCGCACAACAGTTAAAGATGAGAAGTAAAATTTGACTTCCTCTCCTGTCTCTAGGTAGTTGAAGAGAAGTTCGATACCCTTTTAGGCCTACCGACAGCTGAAGATGAAAAGATCAATTTCCTTTCGCTCGATATTTTTGGAAATGGAGGAGTTTCTTCTGCATATTTGTGCTCTTTTTTTATAAAATCGGAAAATCAATTATAAATCATTGGTGACGCGCACTGGGCGGGCCCCGTGCGATCATGCGCTTTTGCAATGTTTCATGCTGTAATAAGATCACTCGAAATTTCGCCAGCTAGAAAACTCTTGTGTACATACTGGTCCTCAAATTTCGGGAAGCTAATTATCCAGGCTATACTTGAACAGGGAAAATTCCCTCGAAGTCCCAGGCTGGAAGCCTGGAAGCTTTCTCAGTTCCCGAGTTACCCAAATCCCAGCCATAAAATTTCACGGGGCCGTACGTGGCAACCGCGCATAATGGGGAGCTGAATCTAATAAATTTAAGTTGTAGATGATCTGGGAACATTCCCTGAAAGTTTCAGCCTCCCAGCTTCCCTGGTTCCGGAGTTAGCCATTCTCGCGCCAAAAATTTTCACGGGGCCGTACGTGGCAACCACGCATAATGGGGGCTGAATTTAAGTTGTAGATGAGCTGGGAACATTTTCTGCAAGTTCCAGTCCCCTAGCTTTCTTGGTTCCCAAGCTAGCGATTTTCGCGCCAGGAACCCTCACGCGGGAACCACGAACCCTCGGGGACTGAATTTGAAATCTTTGAGTTCTACTTGGACTGGAAACATAATCCCAAAGTTTCAGCTTTCTAGCTTTCCTGGTTCCCAAGTTAGCGATTTTCCCGTCAAAACTTTGAGGCGCTCGTACGCGGGGCCTAGACGTGCTTGAGGGT